GATCAAAGAGAAGAGCTTAGATGTATAAAATAGCTCTAATAACTCAGAAAGTAATATAAAGCAATTATATGGAAAAAAATAGGATGAATTATGTAAATAAGTTTTTGTTTCCATTTAAAAATACTTGCTACCATTGCTCAACTGATAGAAAATTTGATGATGATGATGGCTAAAAAGACAGGGGTGGGACTCTATGTTTTTCTAAACTATGGGTGATGGATATTTGCATTAATAACTTTCATATTTAGGATAGCATATAAATTGCATATTTATTGATTATTTCCCAATGTGGTTGTTTTCCTCTACCATGGCAAACATATATAACCCTTCTAGACATTATTTTTTTACTAATTCTGAATGAAATCTTCTGAAGCCAATGCTCTAAGCAGACACTGCTGTTTGATCAGGAGTCATCACTGGAGTGAAAAACTATTTTCCATTCAACTGCACTATCCTTCAAAGTTATGTGTTAAGTAGCTTAAGGAATTCAGATGCATTACTTCTGTGTGTCATTGCTAAAAATTGAAGAAGGCTAGCAGGTATGAGACTCCAACAGAAGTGGTTATTCTATCAAATGATTTTTGTTGATTTTACTCTAACTTTCCATGAGTCCTCCATAAACATTTTTCTTTAAAGCAACTCTTAGAAACCAATTCTTTTTAAAATTTTGAGCTTATTAACACTTAAAAAGAAGAATGTAATTGATCGGCCTACAGAAGCTAAATACGAAACTGAGAGTCATGTTAAAGAAACTAGTCATGTTAAAGCATGTTGGCTTATGTCTAATCCCAGTGACTCTGATGGCTGAGGCAGGAAGATCATGAGTTTACAGGCCAGTCTGCCCAGTTTAGTGAGAATTTGACTTCAAATAAAATATGAAAAGGACTGAGGATGTATCTCAGAGAAAGAGATTAGTCCTTGGGACTACCAAAACAAATGAATTAAAAAACCCTAGAATTATCATTATATATTATGCATCTGGAATAATACGAAATGAAGACCATTTGATTTATAGTTTCACTGTTTGGAATTATAGGTGATTCACTTTTACAAAGAGTGAATTTTTGGCTGAATACTGCGAAGATATATACTGTCTGATAAGTCAGACTTCCAGGGAAAGCTTAAAGATGCTTTTGTTCCATGAAAATAATTCCTGATAGGTATTTGTGAATTCTACTTGATTTAAAATTAATAACAATCATTTCTACTATGTTAATATTCATTGATTCCCCCCATGGTAATAGAAACATAATTTGAACAAGAATTTTTATTCTATGAGTTAAATAATGGAAAAAGATGAGCTAGTAAATTAATTTTTGTTTGAAAATTAAACTAATCATTTTTAAAATTAGAAAGTGAACCATATTTAGAAAATCAAGCAACCTCATCTGAGAAAAGAAATTCTGCATTTTGATTTTTTTACATGTATTTCCTAAAGTAAAGTTTTAAACTATTTTGAGACTATTTAAACTAATTGATGCAAATACTTAACCAATATTTATTAAGTTGTTAAGTCTGTAGTTCTTAACTCAAACTGCATGTTAAATCACTTGTGAGCCTTTAAATTTTACTTGTATCTAGATGCTACCCCCTTTAGGGTAAAGCCTTGACTTCTTTCTGATATGCCAGAGGGGATAAAGCAAGGGCTAAGAATTACTGACCATCACAATAACACCTAAAAATAGGGAGATAAATTTAATCATCCTCTTTTCAAAACAAGTGAGTAAAATATAGCACCATATTATTGTGTTTTTCATAGGATCAAGAATTAATCTTGATTCCTCATTCTTGAATATTATTCCAGTTTGAATTTTTAAAACCAAATAATGTCATTGGTTATTGTTGTTTATAATGATAAATATTATTATATACAGCTGTAAAATACTGTAAAGTTTATCAAATGGAAAGAGAAACAGCATAAAAACTACTTTAAAATTTAAACCAAACACTAAGCTTAAAAACAGTTTGTGTTTAAATCTTTAATTCTAGTCTTTTCCTTCTCATCTTTTCTGCATCAACAGAAATAAATGAAACCTGTTTTAATTAGTTACAATAGAATAATGGAAATTAACATTATGCTAAACACTCCCTGAGAATGTGAGTTGAGATGTTAAGTTTAAGAAATAAAAAGCAAAATCAAAGGGCATATACTTTAGCACATTGTATGTTTATGAACAATATATGTATTGTATGTATATATACAATATAGATCACATATATATATATATATATATATATATATATATATATATATATATATTCCCCATTTCCCATGTCATTTTTTACCTAAAATGAAGAGTAAAAGAGGGGCTGGGGTTGTAGCTCAGTGGTAGAATGCTTGCCTAACATGTGTGAGGCACTGGGTTTGATCCTCTGCACCACATAAAAAATAAAATAAAGGTATCATTCCCATCTACAACTAAATCATATATTTAAAAAAATAAACAGTAAAAGAGCAATGGCTTTAGCTTCCATACAATTGTTATCATTACCAACTTTGAGAATCTACTCTATTTATTTTCAAAAATAGTAATAGATCTGCCTTTTGATAAAATTGAACAGCATCTAGATATTCTGCTTCTCTTTCCTGTAACATATTGCCTGGAATCTAAAAGCCGGGAGAAAAAGCTGATTTAAAAGTAGCTAGAACAGATACATTCATGTCATTTGATTGCAATACAGAACCTCAAACCCACCCCAGATGAACACACATCAAACTTTGCATTTTAATAAAATTCCCATGTAATTCCTATGCACTTTATACATGAGAACCACAGGTGTTGTGTAAAAGACCTGTGTTCATAAAAGTTGCTACAAACAAAGAGATATTTGATACTAGAAGACAGAAAGCTATATTAAAATAAAGAGGTTTTATGGTTAAAAAAAGGCAGAATTCATCTAAATTATAGAAGCATTCATCTGAATTTTTCTTTCTTCACCTAAAGTTTGGAGCAGACATTTAGTGGAAGTACTTTTATAACATTTTGTCATGCTTACAAAGACAATTAATATTGAAAGAATCACATGCCCAGCATTATACTGTAAATAAGTAAATAAAAATAAAAAAATCTCAGTGGTAGCAAAAATGTTTTGTGTAAGAATTCACCAACTGAGTTTCATGAATCGTTAAATTTTCAATGTATTACTGTTCCGGTTCCTCAAGGATTTCAGGGACAAATAGTTTTAGGAGGCAGTACAATATATACTGCTCTTAAAGTTTTGTGATGCATTCTCTGAAATATTACAGTTAAAAAATGTGTTTGTCTTATATCTCCCAAATATATTTAAGCTTAGACCCGTCTTTTACCATCAGATACTACCTGCTGAATAAAGATTATAGAATGTTGCATCAGAGCACTGGAAGTACAGTTTGTAAAACTATTGAATTGTGAAGAACTGGGTTCATAAGGACTAAGAAACAGTATTACAATATTATACATATATATTACAGAAACAGTATTACATTATTATAAGCACTCTGACAATAAAATGAGCTGGAGATATGCATAAATATTTATGTATATGCATATAATATATATGTATATACATATATATGAGTAGAACTTTTAAAATTTTAATTTAGAATAATATTACTATGATTTAACCATTATTGGGAGTGAGGAACTAATAGAATCAACAAGACACAAACAGAGACTATTTAGTGTAAACTCAGAATACAGATTCTAGAATTCTAGATTCTAAACTTCTAGAATTTTAGGTATAAATATTTATGTGTGCCTAATACATTATATATCACATTTAATAAACTGTATTTCAATATTTAGATATGTGGAACCCTATTCTTAGAAAACTTAAATAACTTTTTGGAAGATATATAACTGATGACAGAAGCAGAATTCCAAAATCAGTTCTCTGAATTTTTTAATTGATAGATATAGACGATAGATAAATGATAGATGATAAATAACAGATTAAAAGATATTTCTCTATGTCTATCCCCCTTTATCCTTTCATATCTGTGGGGATTTTTCCCAGGAACCCAGCTTTATGTTTACATCTTACTACCTAGTAAAATAGGTCTGCATAAACTTTTGAGATTCATGGTTTTCAGCATTGGTTTGAAATGTCTATTTTCAATCTCATACTTAAATGAAAAGCAATGGGTTAATTTCTTTTTAGCTAATCATTTTATTGATGCAGTATGATTAATAATAAACAAAATGAACGTTAAACTGAGAGGTTTTTTGTTTCAAAACTCACTAGCTCTGTGACTGTGGGTTCTGAGTTTTTTTTTCCTCCCAAACAGTATAATAAATCTATTTTTGCTATATTACCAAAGAATAAATGGGGCCATGTAAAATGCCAGACACATACTTGGCTCTCAGGAGTTGCTGATTCCCTTCTACTTCCTTTGTAGAAAGTGTATTTTCAATATTATGGAGGAAGTATCTGAGTTAAATTTACCCAGCTTATATTGTACTCATTGTGCCAATGCACAAAGTTAATAAATAAAATAATCAGAATCCCTAACACCACAGAGTGTTGCTTGTATGTAATATCTATCTTCTGATTAAAAATATTTTCTAGAATTTTTCGTAACCTTTATTCAAGAGAAAAATGTCATCTCACAGCATAGAGCTCCAAATTCTCTTTTGGACCAGAGGATGTCTGTACTACTCCCCAATGTGAGATAAGGATAATAAGATGAGTCAGGAGATACAAAATTAAATTTGATTATGTCTTATTAATTGCAAATTTAAAGGTCAAACAGTAAATTCTTAATTTCATTTCCTATGTTCTCATAAAGGACAAATACCCTTATAAACTTTTCAGGTGTAACAGAAAAGAAAAGGTTAAAAAAAAAAAAGTCCTTACATTTTATTTTCATTGTATGAAGGGGTAGGTGGCAGGGCATGAAGATTATGGATACAGGAAAGATATTCAGAGTCCATATTTCAGGTATTAATTATCCTGTTGTTTGAACATTATCCAAAAACCAAAGTTTTGGTGATCCCATACAATAACAGTAACTACATCACTTATTGTTTACTGATATTTTTTTTATTGAGGTTTGTAGCTCATGGTTTTACATGTGATTGTACAGAGCATTTTTTTTTTTAAGGATGAAAAGGTTGTACAAGAGAAAAAAATCCAGTAGCTTGAAATCTGGTAGGTGTATATGATAAGAATAATTCCGTGTGGAAATATATGAGAATCCTAAAAGACCAAAGCTGTATTAGCTAGATTTTTGTTTTGAAAAGTGATTTTTTTCTTATCAGTGAAGAATAGCTCAATTATTTGTTAGTTTTTTTTAAGTATACTATTGTTTTTTAAAAGATATATCTTGAATTAGATTAAATGTTTGGTGAGAGGGAAAACAGTATGAAAAATCTTCCAAATTATCTGTCCACTTCCAATGCATTCACAGAAGCCAAATGAAGGGAAATCAACCTGACTCTACAGATCTTGATTTTGTAGTTCACAGGCAAAGGTCAGTGTTAGAATATACAAACAAATGAGATTTATTTATAAATGCACACATCTGATTATCTACAGCTGTTTCAAAACATACCACTTTTTATTACTAGAATGATAGAGGAAATTTTTATTATCAAATAACTTTTAAATGATTCAAAATGTCAAAGCTTAAGCCATTGGGACAACTTGAAATGCAAGGCATTAAATATACACTCTAGAGGATCAGGCAGTTGTTAGCACATGAGGACACCATCTTCCTCACTGCATACTGAGTTTCAATTCCAAAAATCTCTACCTGCTATTATAGTTGATACACTAATTTTGCCAAATACCTTTTGAGGTTAATCAATCAATGTATTTCGTTTTGGGTTCAGGATCATTTTTCTCTGTCAGAAGAATCAGAGGAATTTTTACATTTTAAAAAGTGATATTTAGGCTTAGATTTTAAAGATAGTTCCTTTCCAATGGAGTGTGAATTTTAGCAATCTTAGGCAATTGAGACCATCTGAATTCCTCTAAATGTAAAATCCTGATTTTTGCCTAAGTAAATTTTTTGTAACCTCTGCCTCAGATCAAATAGTGTAGCATTCTCATTTTAAAATTATTCAATCTGAATAACAATGTTTAAATTAGATCCTTAGAAGTCTATTTTCCTCTTCTTTCAAGTTTTTCCTTTAGCATTTAGAATGAAAGGAACATTGAATACACTTAGATGCATTTGGATTATGTGGTATTTTAATAATCCACCATGTGCACAACTGCCTGCAGAATTGTGTCAATTGACTGCAGTAATTGAAGAGAGGATTTGAGAGTAAAATTTTTAGTAGTATATTTATTTTTTCAGCCTTAATGTAATATTCATATGTATAATGAATTATCCTTTAATATGAATATTGCTTGATTATGAGTTACTTTGTACAACATACATAATTTCAATATTAATTTAATGCTTATTAGATTCATAATAAAGCTCTAAAAGGTACAAAGCTACTAGTAGCACTAACTGTGTTTCTGTACGATTGAGTCAGCAGATTAGAAAATGAATGTGAATTGAGGCAAAATACTTATATTTTTTAAACATTTATATATTTTTTTAGGTTTAGCTAGACACAAACTATCTAAATAGTGCTAGAAGTATGTAGTGTTTTCTGTGGAATTAGCAGGATGAAATTATAATATGGTAAACTCCAATTTAATGTTTTCTGAACAAATCAGCATTTGGTATAGTATATAACATTTTTATCAAGATATATGATTTTGTTATTTTTTCTAAAGCATTTCCTGTATAATTCTCATTTAGGTCTTATCATCTAAATTAGGTCTTGGCAACTTGGTTCTATTCATCTGTCATATTGTAGTTGAAAAGTGTTGTTTATCACAACAGAGGTCATTTTTATATGCAGTCTCCTGCTTCTTTACATGAATAATGGTTTGCGGTTTACTTTTGACATACTCTAAAGAGGCACAAGTTATCAATGAAAAAATTGCAGATGACACTATTAAGAGAAAGAAATATCCAAATAGTTTATATCAAGACATTTAACTTAAAGATGCTAGATGTTAAAGAAGTGCTGACTTTAAACAATTTTTTTAAAAGAATAAAAATAAATATATCAAATGAGAATATGTAAAACTATATTAACCACCTGTCTTATAAAATCACAAAGTTTGCAATAATTGTGATTCATTTTCTCTGAAAGTTAAATAAAAGGAATTATGATTTGTAAGTATGTGTACAGGTGAACGTTAAAGACTGGTTTTCCTTTTAAAGCAAAGAGGAGTAAATAAAGTAGTAAAGTAGTAAATAGAATTTTGTCTTATGGCTGAACAAGAAAGAAACAACTATCAACATTTTCATTTCTAGGATATATATGGTTAAATGTCTAATAATATTTTTCAGATGGTTTGATATAGACCTATTTTCTTATTACAAAATTGAACATACTCTTGTATTCTCTTGAATCTATTTTATGAGCTCAAAGAAGAGTCTTATGTGGAATTAATTTGCACAGAAACACTTCCATAAGCTATTCTTATGCTGCTTTGCATCTGGGCCGCCACCTTTCAAACATTTCAATGCGCAGAAATCTAATATGAGATGTAAAGTATTATTTAGGAATGCCTAACAATGACATGATGAGTTTTATGAATTGCTAAAAATAAACTAATTATATCTTAATACCTTGGGCTACTTTATCTCAGTATGTTTGTTAAAGAAAGGCCATTCATACCAGTATCCTTGTATTTGCTCAAAACCAGATTAAAATTTTGTTTTAGTTTTTCATTCGCTGAGGTTGAATTGACATGCATTTGTAGTTCAACAGTGTTTTATTTTGTTTTCAAAAACATTCTAAATAGTAGCACTTTGATACAGTACTAATGAACAACTTAAAAAATATTCTTTCATTAATAGATGATGACAATAGTTTAGTTCAGAATTGATCTTTAGACAACTCAAGACATTGTTTTTCCTCTTTTCTTTTGGTCTATACAGTAATGCAGAAAGTCAGTCATAAAAGTTTTTAATATTGATCTTGAAACTAGTCAGTGAATTGAACACATATAGCTGAAGATATTGCCTAAAATTAATTATATGGATCTTTATAAATGTTACCAATTCCTTTATATGCTGCATTATTATGAAAAATTTTATCACATCAACTAAGTTAATATTAAAATTTAAATATCTAAATTTAAAGATCATTTCAATGTCAATATTTTCATATTGGGAATCTTAAAAATACAGATCATAAACTTTCAATTTAGAGTCATTGTGAATTTTTTACAGGAAGTTAAGGGAATTTCTATTATTTGCTTTTGGTTAATATAGTTTCCTTATTAATTTTCCTTTTATGAAAATTGTTCTCATGCCATTTGTTTTGTCATTATGATAATTTTAGCATATTTTTTTATCATTCAAATCTAGTAGTTAAATTTTAATAGAATGGAAACAAGGAGGGATGCTCATAAACTTTAACTGAAATTTTAATCTATTTCTTCTTCCCAAAATTTGGGTTTCATCATAAATATTATCAGTTAGGAATATGCTGTAGAACAGTCCATTAGTTTCAAAATCAATTAAACATGAGGACCATTAGCTAGTGTCCTGATAAAACCATCATATGACTTAGATTTCAAAGAAAAAATAAAATTCAAATAAAACATTACAAAATATTATTTTACTAGGAAGCAATACTTAGCTTTTACTTTCATCTGGCTAAATAATGTGCTATGCACATACATTATGTATGTTGAATGGAAATTTACTTCTTAATGGAAAACCAAGTACATTGAAAATATTCAGATAAGTAAATCATGAATTTCATAAAATATTGGAAAAACGGAGTCAATAAAGGTGATAGAAAAAAATTTAAAAAATTATTAGTTCATCAGTAACTTTGCTTGAAAAAGGCATTTGAGGGGAAAATTGAAGTTCAGGAATTCAACCCTTGCTAGTGTACATAGGACTAAATGAATACATATTTTATGCAAATTTCTATTGAAATACATGTGCAATTAACTACTTTATCCACTGTTTTCATTAATAGTCACATCAAATTCGGAGGAACAATCTCTTCCTGTCAAAATCTTTGGGAACTTAATTCTCTCTGAAAGCACACCAATTATGATGGAGGAGAGGTTAAAAAAAAAAATCTCACACTTTCATCTTGATGCAAGAGCTTGGTATTAACCTATTATATTGCATAGACTTCTGTACCAGTTAAGGTGTTCCAAGTGATCTTTCTTCCACTTGGTCTATGCAGAGCTGGGCAGGTTACCTGCTTCAAATTTCCATATAATAAAACACAAAAAGATCACAAGCAAGGAGGTAGCAATATCAGAAAATCAGCAAGCTGAATTGAGGTAGTTTCCCCATTGTTCTGTGAATCTAGCTTCTTACTTAGAAATGCTTCCATACAGATTACTGTTTGTCACACCAAGCTTAAGCACTGGCAATCCACAGTCAACATGTGTGTTTCTGGAGTTATGTTTTACATGTTAAAGAAGGGTTCTTTTCTGGCCACATATAATCTAGGCATCAAGTGAGTTAAACACCTTTCAGGTGCTAATACGGCCACTGGGTGGTGTTAGGGAAACCTCATTGCTGCTGAAGCCTGTGGTACTCCTCCAATTTAAGGAAACATTTATATCAATTGACTAAAAAGAAATGAGACATAAGATATTTTAAGGTGATGAAACAGTTAAGATGTACTCTGACCAGTACAACTTTTTTTGTCATATATTTTATAACTATGTATGGATTACTGGCCATTGTCTACACTATTTTTTATCATTTTAAGACAATCATGTAGATTTTTGAAAAATAAAATCCCAAGGCATAGAACAAGAGAAATTATGAATTGGCAAGTTCATTGTAGTTTTGCTTAGAAAGAACTCCATGGTTGAATACTGCTGGAAAAGGATCTGGAGTAATCGAAAATCAAGAAAGTTTCTTTGAAAGAATTTATATTTCCCCTCCTCTTTCCTCCTTTATAACAAGAAAAAATGGCACAAAAAAATGGTTTATAGTGCCCTTTAAAAATGTTTTCTTTGCCATGATTCTTGCAGCTTTTAGCCAATGGAATAAATTTAAATTTCTTTATCAAAATGGAGCTTATGAAAGAGGAAAAATGATTCCATTGTAATTTGATATTTGAATCTCTGATTGCATCTGTTTATTAAAATAAGCATAGTAACTACAGTGGGTTTATAAATAGGCATACAGTAACCTATATGTTAACCTGCTTGAGTGTAAGTAATGCATCTTGTTTTAGACAACATAAAGATGTCCATCCCATTTTCTGGTTGACTTTGTCTGCAAAACTGATTATCATTTTGTGCTTAGGTTATTTGTTGAGTCAGATTGATTTCTTTTTCATGGCTTACGTAGGTCACAGAGGGTTAGCAAAGTTTATATACTGAAAATAGAGGGAAAGAAAGGCGAGAAAAAATGCAAAGGAAAATTAATAATATAGTACATACATCAATACAATATCTTCTAAATCTCAATCAGTTGTTTATTGGTTGGCAAACAAGTTTCACTTTTACAACAAATATTAGTAATGAGGTCATCCAACTTTGAGACCATACAAAATGGATCAGAAATTTAAAAAAAAAATTATATGTGCTGCTAATTTACCTCTTGTATCCTACATTACTTAAAATCCTGTCAAATAAATAAATTTTCCTGTTAATAAACAGAAGACTTAAAAAAAATCACTTCAAAATTATTTGACCTTTTAATTCTTACTACCAGGGAATGAATTTCCTCTAAAACTTGGTAGTGCAGGTGCCCGCTTGGGGGCCAGACTGAGCATTCAGCACTTTATCGTCTATGAAATACCGTTTTTTTCACATGCAGAAGCCCCACTAGTCCTATAGACACCTCTTGACTTCTAGAATCATAGCTACTGTCTTGGTGATGAACTGCTTGCCAAATATGCTTTGCATTACAACAGATGTGCCCTGTAAACATGAAAGTTCGTCCTGCTCTAATTTGCAAAAATGCTGTTGGAAATCTTCTAGCTGGATAAAGATATATAGTCAGGGAAGGAAATCTAAGTTTCTTTCTTTTCTTTTCTTTTTTGTAAAAAATAATTTGTTTGCATTACTAGAAAATGATTCTTATAAAGTGATAGTTTTATTTATTTATTTATTTATTTATTTCCCAGGTGAAGTTTTAAAGTAAACAAGTAGGGGGGCGGGGAGGCAAAGAAAAAGAAAATGAAGAAAGGAAGAAAAAAAAAGGAGGAAACTTTGCTTTTTTTTCTTTTTTTTTCTTTTTTTCTTTTTTTTTACTGGTAGACAAACTTGCAAGACTAGCACAAAAGAAAAAGAAAATTTCTTTTTTTTTTTTTCCCACTACATTAACAGGACTCAAATTCTGGAGGAACAGAAAGCAGACTATATGTGCAATGCTAGTATCTGTACATTACATAGAAATTGTTCAATTTTTTTCTGCCATTAGTTTTATCATCAGTTAATACAGCAAATCATAAAATATGCATTTAGCATATAATTCTAGAATTCCCCTCCATTTCATTATTAATTTTGTTGTTTTGTTTTCCACAGCTATTCCTGCTGTGGTGAACAGGTGGTGAGTGACCATAAACCACTATGTGATAACAGTTTTGCTTCTCTTTTATGTTTGTTTGTGCAGCACTCCAATCTAGATGCAGCATTGTTACTAATTGCAAACAATTGTTCTGGCCTTTCAAAAATCAGGTCCTTGTAAGTATAGTAACAGAGCATCAGAGATGTTAAAACAAACACAACATAATTCAACAAGGCCACAATGAGCGCCATTTTCTTCATATCTCGTTCATTAACATAATGAAGTCTCCATCTGAGGGGGGGGAAGGACAAGAAAGGAAAGGGCACAGGGGGATTTCAGCAGTTATCTTTCTCCCCTGGGCTGACCTAAAAATCCCACTTTAAAAAAAAAAAAAAGAAAGAAAAAGAAAAAGTCAAGAGTTTTTGTTTGTCTTTTGAGAACAGCATAAAGATTTAGGAGTACACACATTATTACCACTGCTTATTTCAACTCAGAACAGTCAACAAGGTGTTAGCAGTTTTGTTGGTTTAAATTTCTGTGTCATCTTCTATAGACTAGTGACCAAATGAGCAGGTCCTTTTGAACTTCCCTCCGGAGAGGTCCCATCTTTGTTTGGAGGAACTATGAATCCATCACTGCTGCCGCGCCCTAGCTGGTAGTAAGTGTGCAGCTGATGGACGTGGTTTCTGGAGCCTAGGTTTGGCATGCTTTTGTAGTAAACATCTTCGGCATCACCACATTTGGCTGCTGGGGGTTCGGTCTGGGTGCTGGTGGTAACGCTCTCTGCGGCGGGCACACCAGCCAGTGCTGGCATACTGGTATAGAGGGAGTCCCTGTGGGGTGACTGGAGATCTTCTGTGTGCTCGTTGGTTAGCAAAGGGAAAAAGCTCTCACTGTGGTCTTGGGGGATCCGCCTTCTGCTGTAGTGGTGTGGCTGGTGGTTCTCGGTGGAGTAAACCCTTGGGGGCAGCAAAGGAGCATCCGATTCTTCATGAATGAGTTCCAGGCCCAGACTCTCCTCATGATTGAAGGATGTGGCATCATCGAGGACAATGGCATCATCTTCACTTGCACTGCCGAGGTTATTCACCAGCTTGTTCATCAGATTCCTGTTCTGCTCGCTGGAACGCTCGTGGTTGTTCAGGTAAGAAGGGATGTAATTGGAAGTGAGTTCCTTCAGAATCTTTTTCTCTAGGGCGGTCTCATTATGGTTATAGCCGCGGTCTATAATTTGCACACAGTTGCTCAGGTACTCGCCGCTGGCAATGCTGTAACTATTGCCATGGTTACCATTCAGTGGTAGAGTATCCATGACACTTGTATCCCTGGCATTGTTCAGAAGCCCCTCTGAAAAAGATTACAAGACACTATGACATTCATATCCAATAGGCCATAGAACACACACACAAACACAAAAGCAAAACATTTATCGACTATGAAATATGTATAAAGCGCTAGCATTTAACTGAATCTAAAATGTCCAGGAACAAAAACATTAAATTTAGCTGTATATAACCAAATATATGTGTATAATTGGACAATTGATCAAAATCTTGGAAAAGAAGTATTTAAAATAAATCTCAAAAGAATTTTTTTTAAAAAAAAACCTATGAATTATAAATTGGCAATTTTCACACACTGTCTGACATTATTTGAAGCATGTTTGGTTATAACATGGGCAAAATAACACAAAATTTTGGTGTAGTCATTCATAGCTTTCAATTTATAGCCATCAAGGTCAATTAAATAATTTGTTACCTTTAATTTTACATGCTCTCTTATTACTGAAGTAGCTACAATATTAACATAATTCATGTGTGGTCCATTCAATATGCTAGTAAAAAGTAAAAGAAATAGTTTTTCATAATTTAATATATAATTTTGTGAAATTAAAAATAATCCCAAACCAGGTGTGGTGGCGCATGCCTGTAATCCCAGTAACTCCAGAGTATCGCAAGAGAAGCTAGCCTCAGCAATTCAGCGAAACCCTGTCTCAAAAAAAAACTTTAAAAAAGGCTGGGAATTTTGTTCTCTGATAAAGCGCCCCTGGGTTCAATCCTTACTATCAAATAAATAAATGAATGTGATAAATAAATATATTAATTAAATAATCCCTATACATAAAACCACAAAAGGATTATGTTAAATTTGTCAGAACGATATAGTTATTAAATAATGCTGAGTCAAATAAATGGCACACCAAAATAATTTACACACTAGGAACTTTCAAAAGTATTTGGATTTACTTTCTATTTTTTTCTGCTCTAAGCACTTTGGTTATTATTTCATATTAGGCCGTTAGTGATTATCCAGGGTCATTACTTAATACTGTATGAGAAAGTGTAAAAACAGGGATTTGATTCCCAAAATTATGTCGTCAATACTACTGTTACTATTTTATAATGAGTGAAGACTTTGGGGCATATTAAATTTTGGGTTTGAAAGAGGATAAACATTTTATTCTGGTAGAAACAGCTGCAGTGAATTAAATTTGACCACATACTTCTTCAAGGTTTTAGCATTCCCTTGAATAACAGAAAATTCAATAATCTATAATAGTTTCTTAAATCAATTCAAATGCAACCACAAAAGAAAAAACACACACAAACACTTAACCAATTCTGGTAAATTAGGAAGGGTATTTCCTTTTATGAAAAATTAGTCAAAGAATTCTATTAAACTTCTCAATATGCTGCTAACTTGTGAAAATATAGCAGTCATTCTATATCTGTGATGCAGTTACATTTATCAAAACTTGACTAGTTCAATACTAGTTTAAATGAACAATTGAATATGTCAATTTTTATATGAACTTCTGATGCATGCTCTGTATTCAAGAAACACCATTTTTAAAAAATAGCAATGCATAAAATGCATTAAAAAGCAGCTATCACAGACATAGGTTGAAGCGATTTATTTTCATGTTATATCTTGTACACAAATCCACAATGTTAAGAAAAAAAAGTAAACGCCTTTTAAAGGGCTGTATGTGATGGGTGACTGCGGCTGCAGAGGCTGCAATGGGATGCTAGATGGTTAGGGTTGCGTGGCTGATGCATTGAAACATGTGCTTTTGTATTTCTGTTGTCAATGCATTAGGCAGAGACTAAAAACAGCCATTGTAAAATAAAGTGAGGATGCTGCATATGACACACTTTTATGATGGAATGTACTAATAAAAATTAAAAGTTTATGGATTACTTAGCAAAAATAAATGCTTAATTTAAAAACAATTTAACTCACACGAACATTACATGAGACTTAACAACCATGTTGATTATGTGACAGAATAAAAGAATCAGACAACAAAAGCGTCTAATCTCTATTAGCATATATTTATATAAGTTGATTTATAGGCTCTTTAGTTTTTAAATTGTGAGATGAACTGTTTTTAATAACTACATCATCTATATGTGATGCAATAAAAGTGAACTAAAAAAAATTACATTTGATATGCAATGTTTAGCTTTACTCCCATACTTGTCTCTCTGTAGGGCTCTAAACGACAGCATGAAGAAAAGGAAAGAAAAAACAACAAGTAAGCTTACAGCGACAGTAGAGGAAACATGAGTAAAAAGCAAATTGATGATATGCAGAAAAAAGAGTCAAAGGAAATAATTTCCACTGCCCCAAAATTTATGAGTCTGTGTTACATGGTTTATCATAATAAAAAATACTGATATGTTAGTCAGAAAATAAGCAGTCCCCCTTAACACATGCCAATATAATGAGTCTTTAATAAGCATTATACAGTTTGTAATTTTCCAACAAAATACACACTTATATTACAATTAAGATTATCACACAAACCAGAGAATAAAAAGAAGGTGAGCCAGGAACTATTTCCACCTCTAGATTTCAATACTGTCACATGTATGATGTTAGAATGCACCTGCTCATAAGGAATGCCATATAATTTTATAATTTATTAAATAAAATTATCAAGGAAATTTTGGATACAGAAAAATACTAGTTGAAGATTTTCATAATCTTGTTCTTTTTTCCCCCTATATATCTTCTCTTTCTCTGCACAAACACTATTTTTCCTCATTGTACCTACAAAAATTTTGCTTATCATTTGTAATCAAAAACTGATCAGTACTGTCATTGCTGGAGCCCCTAACCAGAAGTGGAGTAAGTAAAGAAAAAAAAGGCTAAATCCATTTATTCTGTATCAAGAAAATGTGTGGGGAATAAATCACCACTTATATCAGGTTTTCTTCTGGATTGCTGCACAATCATATGCAATCAAATATTTTGGGAGTGGATCCTTTGAAAACAATCCTGGTGAAATTACTTTTTAGAAAAAAACTCACATTTTAAGCAGGTCAGAAGAATTACTCTTACTGATTTTGTTTACACGATGGTTAAAATATCACAAAACAAAGACCAGTGAATTCTCTGGGCTAGATCATTTTGAGGGATTCTAACTTGTTATAATTTAACCATTGGTTAAAGGAGACAGTTTTTTTTTTTCTTGGCAAAACAAGACCTATAGCATTTTAAAAAGCAGAAGAAATATTTTTTTCAAATTTCAAAACAGCTTTAGTAAAACAATTTGAAAGACAAGCTGTTTATCAACAGAGGTAAATACCTGTAGGCTCATTATGGTTCACTCCTAAAATACAGGGATCCTAGAACTAGAAGCACAAAAAAGAGATCGCTGAGGTTCAATTTCCATTTTTCAGAGATAAAGAAACCACAGTGCACAGAGGCCGGGCCTTATCTAATGCTTCCCTGCTAATAGGGCAGAGCTGGGACCAGAAAGGGGTCTCTAGACTTCTTTCAACTCTGCTGCAATTTTCTCTTCAAATCTGCTGTAGGCTTTGAAAACCATGAAGGAATACCTTGCATTCTTACTTTTATTCTTCACTATATCCCATTCTAGAGATATGTCTTTCTTTAAAGTTTTAGAACTAAATTAAATTACCTTAAGATGTAAATTTATTTTAGTAAAATCACGACTTCCTCTCTTACATTGTGTTGACAGGTTTTTCTATAATGAGATTTATCTCTACAAAAATTGAATTTCTAATACTGACAAATACACAATGGTCCAGAAATTCTATGCAAAAAGTTTTAAACATTTCCACAGTTGGAAGCTGAATTCAACATAATAAAAGTATATTATTCACTTTTATTTTTATATGTTTCAGTAGTAACACTATATACACATCTTTACATAAATAAAGGCATTACAAACAAGATTGGATGCTTTAAATTTGAACATTTCTATGCCTGGATAGCACTGGTACAACTGAAGTAGAGAACCCACAGAACAGAAGCAAGTGGTAATTTAACATAAACCACTCCAGAAACCTCTCCAGTACATACCAGGTCAACTATATTTCATGTAAGATTTCACCTTGCCAGTAAGAATATAAGTGCACTCATCTGAAAGCATAAGATTAGCAGCAATATGACAATCATCAAGATTTATTTTTTGGTCAGTGGTAATAGAATTATTTTAAGCACTATCATGGTTTCTTAACATTTTGATAATTATTAAAACATAATAGTTGAACAGTTCCACTTCTGGCTCTGAAAAACATTAATAAAATTATTTACTTTTTATTTTTAAGGAGTCAATAGAATTTTTTAAACTGAAATTTAGGAAAAATCCATTCAGACAAATTCATTGTGAGTAATAACCAATAAAGGATTCCATAGGAATAAAGCTTTGTATTTATATGGTATTTTAATTTTTTTTGTCTGTTAAAATTTTAATTCAATAATTTAGATAGGTATGTGTTCACCCTTAAAAATATCCTTCCCTTGTTTTGGTTATACCAGTAAAAATAAAGATGTGAAGGCAGATAGCGAAATAAGGGAAACAGAAAAATTAATAATTGTTACTTTTTCATTATATAAGAAATGACACATTATCTCTGAAAACCAAAAAAAAAGCAAAATAAAATGCAATCCACATTTGTTAATTATTTTAAAGTAATTACCAACAACTTTTCTGTGTAAGGCGAATAAGGTAGAGTACATTTAACTTGCAAATATTTTAAATCTTCATTTAACATCATTCAAAATTACTACTTAACAGGATACTTCGAAATATTTATAGTGACCCATTTACCTCTCACTTAACCTAAGGATAATAAAGACAAGATAAACCCTTAGAAGGTCTACTAAATTGTTCTGCCTAACCACATCTGGTGCACTGTGTATTGTACCATCCGTAGAGTATTACAGTGGAATACGGACCTTGACAAATGAGAGAATATAGAGAGAGTAACCATGAAGATGCACCCAGAAACTCTCATATTGATGATTCTATTGTAGTAGGGATATGGAAAACCAAAGGAAAATAGGTTTGCTGCTTTCAAGTATTTCAAGGATTTTCAAGAAGCAACAGAAGAAGGCAAACATAAGCATTATAGTAAGAGGAATATATCTAGATATCTCTATATATATAAATGGGTAAAAAATAAGCAGAGCATTTCAATGATAGAATATATGAGATCTTGAGGTGGGAAAAGCCCTGTTAGAATAGATACTTCAAGCTGGGGCTTACAGGGTGTCATTAATCATATAAACAGCATTTCATGAACTCTATCTCTGGTTCTCAAAGTCTATGCTTCTTAAACATGGAGTCTTAAGAAACGATGAAATTGAAAGTTTACTGAATTATTTCATCATATAAACAAATATCTTGAACATACTCCTGAAGTCATTTGTTAATAAATTACTCTAGTATTTTTGAAATAATTTAAAATCATCCTTTGTATCTGACAAGGAACCCTATAGGACAGCTCAGGTGATGTGAGATGCCCAGTGGCAGGCTGCAACAAACATGTTTTTCTGAAATGGCCCATTCACACCAAGTTTTACAGTCACACCACTAATCTTTTACCTCTGACCAAGAAAGAAAGAGGAGAAAAAAAGAAAAATGAAAAAAAAAAAAACAGAGATGCTTACAAAGGATAATAGAAATTTTATTCCAAATTTCCTGGGTAATTTAATATTGCTCAATTACTGCCTTCAACTGGAAGAACCATGGACATATCTATTACAGTGAATTTTCTTTCAAATATAATTTTAAGTAAGACGTTTCTTTAATGAAACTTCTATTTCAATGATTTATGGTCTATTTACATGTATACATATACACATATATACATATATGATAATTTATATATAGACAATACATCTTTATAATCTTGATAATCTTAATATAACAAATTAATAATCTTAATAGCAATAATCAACAATGGAGTTCATAAGAGTTTACATATGTATGTTGTATGTGTGTGTGTGTGTGTGTGTGTATACTTAGAAAAAGTAAAACCATGTCCACATAATTAGAGTGTAAGCTGTGTTTTAAAAGACCTATGCTTATTAGTTTGAAACACAATGAAGTTTCTGTATTGTTTTCAAGATGGGGCATACAGAGGAGCCATCTTCAAAATCCTTGTTTCAAGTGAGTTGTAGCCTACAGTAGAAATAATTTTGTGACTTGCTTGCTCCAGCTCGTGTAGGCGATGACAAAGCTAAGACAGAACCTGAGCTGCTACTGTCAAGTTCACTGCTCTTTCCTCCACTGCTTAGTTCAATGTAATTTTCCCTGGAGTTAATCTAATGCTTTCATCAATACTAATGCTTTGTGCCCAGAGTGTACTTCATGATTTAACAAAGTAAGATTTATTTTCTCCATCTTATAACAGTAAGACTACTGAATCAAGTCTTCTTTTATCTTACTTACCTTAGACACGTATCTCATTTCTCAAAATAAATACATAGGTATTTAATATAGAAATAAATGAACAACAAGAAAAGTACTGACAAACCACAATACATTTTGTAACAGTACAGAGAAACAAACACATATGAATGAATAAGGCATGTGTTTATCAGAAGGCATCCATTTCTTACTAAGGAAAGCCTAAGGAAAATGTAAAATAAAAGCACCAAGAGGGGTGGAATGTAAAGGAGTCTGTGTGTCAGCTTCCAAAACAAAGAAAAGGCAGGAGAAAGGAAACTAGAAAGTGCTCATAAAAGCTACATAAAATGGGACTCTCACTTGAAAAAATTAAGATAAACTCCAGCACACCTTGTGCGTTGTACATGCTGACAGAAGGGTTGTTACAGACCGCCGGTTCCCCAAGCAATGTATTATAGGGATTGTTAGTACCATGCGGACGAAGCAGAGCATTGCTTATAAGATGATTAGCCATGGCTCCTGGAGCAGCCCCATAGAAAGACAGAGAAAAAAAAAAAAAAAAGGTCAATCAGGCAAATGTGTTTGAAAAAAAGAAAGGAAACATTTAGAATGACAACAGTTGATATAGCCCTGATTACAGGCAGGCAGCTAATTAAACTGAAAAAATATGTCACTAGAGCAGCACACATTTCCAACAATGTACACATATTTGAGTCAATGGGAAAGAAAAAAAATGATTTACAGTGTTGCTTAGGCCACATTTATGGTACTCTCTTTCCCCAGGTGTATGCAAGAATATATTCCCATGCTTGCTATAAATAAATAAAAATAAAAAAGCAAATCCAGTCATTCATACGAACAAAACACAAAAGCAAAAAAAAAGTATAAAAGCTAAAATGCAAAAAGAAACAACACATTTCCTTATTCTCAGCCACCACTGAGTTGTTTTCAATGAAAGTAAAAAACAATAAAAGGAAACATTTAAGATCAAACACTCATTTGGAGAGCAGTTGTTGACACAACAGAAAAATTTTACATTTCTTAGAAATTCTATACAGAATAACTGAAATTGAAATAAAATATAATCACTCTTATTAGTACACCACAGTAAACATACTAATTGAGTGATGTAATTAGCCTGGTAAAAAGTCATATAGACTTTATTTTAAACTATTTCAGATAAAAGATTATTCTATCAAGCAATATATACACACACATATATAATTCCATTTTCCATTTTCCAACTGTTGTTCAAACTTTGGCATAGGAAAGTAACAAAATTAAACTCTTTAATCCTTTTGTGAACAGATATTCTTAGTTTCCAGCACACCATCAGTATGAGTTACAACCCTCCATCCTTCAAAGTCATTTAATCAAGAGACAAAAGATCAAAAGATCTGAGGAAGAGTTTTATTACATATAACCATGCATTTATAAATACGATAGGTAGAACGGCATATTTATGTTAGGTGATGAATAAATAAAATGTGACTGAAGAAAGGAAAAGAAAATTCTGTGGGGATAACCAGTTAACATAAGCAGGTACAAAAATGTTGATCTTTGTTATACTTATGTGAGAGAATGAAAATATAAGCTATCTTGACAACAAACTTACAAATCTTTGTGATCTAACAAAGAACTATTATTTGGACTATAGAAATAACTCTCAAAAGTCACCATTAAGAACTAATAAAATTCAATTCAAAACTGGTCCAAAGGTATAAAGAGACACTTCAAGTAAAAAAGGATATATGGATGGCAAGTAAGCTCATGAAAAGAACTGCTATTAGCCATGAGGAAAATGAAGATGAAGCTACAATAACTAACAACACATCTAAGATAAAAATAGTGACAATATTAAATGTTGACAAGGATGCAGAGAAACCGGATCACTCCTACTTTGCTGATGGTAATATAACAATACAGCATTGAGGAAAACAGTTTGGGGAGTTGCTCGTAAAACTAAACATGTAATTATCATACTACCCTATAACTGTACTCTTGGACATTTATCCCAGAGAAATAGAAATTTATCTTTACCGAAAACCTTGCACATGAATGTTTATGGCAGCTCTACTTGAAATAGCCCCCAAATGGAAAGAGCCCAAATTTCTTTCCACTGATGAATGGCTGAACAATATGTAGCAGGTGCATATAATGAAAAACTACTTAGCAATCAAAAGGTGTACATTACTATACACTTAAAAAGCTAGATGAATCTCCAAAGATTTATACTAAGAAGAAAGAGCTAATCCCAAGTGATAACATACTATATAATTCCTTTTATAGATATATATTCTTGAAATGACAGAGTTACAGAAACAAGAGAGATTAGTGGTTCACAAAGGTTAAAGATGGAGAAGGGAAGTAGGTCTTCATAAAATGGTAATGTGTGACATCCTTGTAGTGACAGAAATATGAAATTATTCTGTATCTTATGAGGGTGCCCATGGCAACCTATTTCATGAATAAAATTTCATAAGACTCAATACTATCACAACTAACTACAAATAAAGCTGAATAAACCTGGATGAGATTGGTGGATTATATCAAGATCAGCATCTTGGTTGTGATATTATAGTAGAGTTTCATAAGATATTGAGGGAACAAAGTAAAGGGCAAATAATCTCTCAATATTATTCTGTACAGCTGTATCCAAATACAAATATCTCAAAATAAAAAGTGGCTGGTATTGTGTGAGTAAAATACAAAATTTATTCATTCATAGAAAATGTCAAAAAATGAGAAGGGACTATTTGGCAACAGTAATGTTTATCATTCCTAAATTGTAATTCTTTGTCATGGTACATTACTGGTCAACTAAAAAATTATTTTAATCTCAAAAACTGGGAAAGTGAATACCTCCTGATTAAAAGGACAATACATCTTGTCAAATTGTTAGTCGTAAAATATCAGTTTTTTTTTTTCAAGAAATAAGCCATGCATTTGTTCATATCCTGTATATCCTGCAAAGAATTAGCATGGAAGTAGCACAAAATATTTCACTTACTAAATGTTTAATAGTTGTTTGCTGAAGTTGTAAAATACACTTAGTTAAGTGTTCTTATGTAGTGCAATGGCAGATCTTCTATCTGTCATGTAATAGGTCTTTCAGGGTATTACTTTCCCTTGATAAATTACAAATATAGGATATTAATAAGAAAAAAAATTTAAAGTTTATTACAATGCCTTTCCGATAAAAAATGGAAAATTGTAGATCTTCAAGATTTATATTGTGATTGTTATGCAAATTTAACTGTTTGAGGCAGCAAACAGTTTGCACAAAATCAATTGTATTTGCTACCTAATATTTACATTTCTAGCTCTTTTCAAGCACAAAAGAAAAGTTAGTTTTGTAATACAAATAATTCCTTTCTGAAATTATTTTAAATAAGTATTTAAGTAGAAAACAAAAAGTATAATTCAAAATAAACTCACATGAAGACTTGAAAATAGAAAATCACTCAAATATACACCCTCAAAGATCAAAAATGAAGATCTTCATGGCTAAAGCTTGTGTCTGCATTTCTCTATATTTATACACTATTTAATTTGAAATAATTAGAAATTGAACAATACAATAAAAAGATCTCATACCATTTTTTTTGCTTTGCTACATACAGCTTAAAATTCAACATATTTCTTTTTCTTATTTATGTAGAAAAATGAATAGCATTTCTGTACTGATGTAAAAGAAGCTATTTGTGCTTAAAAATAAACACTTTAGGTGTAAAGAAGTATAAGCAAGAAGCAGATAACTTGATAACTTTATCATTCAGTTTATAAAAAGCCAAGTATATAAGGAAAAAATGGTTAATAACAAAAAGGAATTGTTTCATCATGGAATTCTTTTTTTTAAATGCCTTATTTATTTATTTATTTTTATGTGGTTCTGAAGATGGAACCCAGAACCTCACGCGTGCTGGGTGAGCATTCTACCAAAACCGCAGCCCTCATAGCCGAATTCTAATGAAGGTATTTAAGTTTTTTATAGATAATCCATTTGATTATATCTTTCCCAGTATAAAGTTCTTTTCAGTCCTAAGCATTTTTCTAATTTTTGAATGTAGTTTAAAGTGCTTCCATTAGTGAAACTAATAATTTAAGATGAAAGGATTTTATTTTATTTGAAAGAAATTGGGTGAAAGCTGATTTTATTTTTATTCAATGCTTGCTAAGCTTTAAAGTCTGACCACACATCAGAAGTGCTACTGGTTAGCAGGTAGGCATTACCATACAACATAGACAATACAGGCCAATCTTCAGTCTCTGACACTTGGGTTCTAGGCTTGGTCCCTTCCTCAAATCTCAATGAAATGCAGAATCAGTTATGGATCTGTAGCCTTAATGAAAGATATGTAGCCTTCATCAGCTATTCACCTACTGTTCTTTCTAAAGCCATACAGACACAGAAATAATTCAAAACTTTTAAACAAAATGCACGTTCCTCTTCATCTCTGGTATTACGAACTTTTCTTCTGACAAAAGAAAAATAAACAAAAAAACAAAAAACAAAAAACAAAAACAATGAAGAATCACTAGTTAAAAATCAGTGGCTGTTTTTATTGTCTGTCCCTCATTTTTATACCTCCTGTACCATTTGAAACCAGCTTTAATTTTACAGAGTTTATAATTAAAGGAAAGGCTTCATCAATAAGGATGGCAGTAGGAAGTTCAATGTGATGATAATGTGTTACAAAAAGTATAAAGATACAGATAAACTCTAGAGATTTGCTAGTACAAAAGAATAAGAAATATATTTTGAGAATCAAATTATTATCCCTCATTTGATTCACCTAAAATAAGGTGAATTTTTTCCAAGGACATTGACCTCAAGAGGTCCTTCTTCCTATCATGGCAAATAAGTTTGATTTTCTGAGGAGTTATTTTCATATGGCTCCTACAGTCAACACTCACTAAGCAATTCTATAATACATCTGAATGGTGGCACTGACTGTGCAGAAAAAAACAAACATAAACAACAGCTTGCTGGCAATGCTTGGATCCTTTAACTAAAAACTTGGACAGAAGCTGTCTTCCTCCATCTTCCACATGTGAAGGTGCTTTTGTCTTTTTGCTGTTGCTGCACTGCATTTCACTCATTTTTGCAGAAGTCTATTCTGTTTGCTTCTGGCTGTTTCCTCAATTGACTTAGGTCACTTTGAATTCCGATACTAGCTTCCAGGATTCTGTCTATCCTGTCTCTTCCTCTTCCTACAACTAACTTCTGATTTGTAAACTTCCCTTCTAACAGCTGTGAAATTGCTCAAGACTTCCAAGAAGTTCAGTGTTTATAGACCATCTGTCACTGTTTTTTAGCTGGAAAGTTAAGTGTACTGGTTAGTCAGTTGCAAGACACAAATAAGTTGGTGTTTGGTGGGGGAGGGAGACAGTTACAGCAACACACACACACATACACACACACACAAATGTTTACATGCTAATTCTTTAACACTGGGATGTAAGCTCTAGAAAGACTAAATACATAGGAGTTTTTTTTGTTTTTTTTTTTTTTTTAC